TAGAGTCTTTTATATTCTAACCATGTATGTAGGAGAGAAAGACAATGGCTCCATTAGAGGTCAGGGAGTTTGTGAACACTCTTCGGAAAACATTCTCTACTCTGGAGGTCTGTTTGCAATAATGCTGTTTCTTGCTAATTATTTATAATTCTTTATATGTTGGTGTTACTGCAGTTTTGTTTCATGTTTTATTTTGTTGTCTTACTATTCATTTGTTCGTTGGGGCGCAAGTGGAGAAGACCTGCAATTTTTTTAATTCGAAGTTATATTATGTGTCTAAATTTTCATCTCACTATCTAGGCAGTTTGTATTCCGACTATTGCTGCGATTGATGGTGTAGCTTTAGGTGGAGGACTAGAAATGGCATTATGTTGTGATCTTCGCATTTGCGGTGAGTTTTTTTTCCTGGACTCCTATAGCAATGACAATTAGCTTTCAGATTTGCTTACATCCTGAAATCATTTTATTGAATGTTAACAGGGGAAGATACAGTTTTGGGCTTGCCGGAAACTGGACTTGCAATCATACCCGGGTATGTGTCTAGTGATTTTTCAGAATGTAAATGTGGCAATGTGCAAAATGGCTTGAGAATATGATGGATTAAAGCAAAATGGTTCACTAAGCTGTTTGCGCTTCTTTGTTATGAAGCAGCAGTCAGCCTATGCAATTTTGGACGCGATTTTCACTATGGATCATCTGGAAACAGTCTCTCTGTGCTTTAGTACAGGGGTAAGACTGCGTACATCCAACCCCCCCTTACCCTACCGTAGGTGGGAGCCTTTGTGGCACTGGGGTAACGATAATGATGTTCAAAATTTCAAATTATGAGATGCTCAGAACTAGAGGATGTCATGCTGAATATGTCATATTTGCCTTGACCATTTGCAGAGCTGGTGGGTCACAGCGGCTTCCTAGATTGGTTGGAAAATCAATCGCAAAGGATCTCATATTTACTGGACGAAAGATTAATGGGAAGGAAGCCTTATCACTGGGTGGGCATGCCATAGTTCTGGTATTTTTGTCTTTTTTGAATATCCAGTATTAAAAAAGACCGTTTTGTTCAGGACTGGTCAATGATTGTGTTCCTTCTGGCGAAGCTCATCTAAAGGCACTTGAAATTGCTCGAAGTATAAACCAGAAGGTTGGAGTTGTATATTTTCATTGAATGAGTTAAAAACCCTTACTTTCAATTCACTAACTCTCTTATACATTCAAGATGCCAAACTAACAAATCCCAATAATTCACTCCATTGCTTCCCTTATCCTTTTCAATAGGTGTTTAGGCATTTGGTTCTTGTGTATACCTAGGTGACCTTGTATTGACCTTGATATCTCTTATGACAGGGACCGCTTGCATTAAAGATGGCAAAACATGCAATTGATAAAGGATATGAGTTGGATTTGGAATCAGCTCTGGCATTGGAGGAGGATTGCTATGAGCAACTATTGAACACAAAAGATCGGCTAGAAGGGCTTGCAGCATTTGCTGAGAGACGAAAACCTATATACACAGGCGAATAAGTACATCAGATTAGCTATGCCAATTGCTTACCAATGATTTGTTAAGAATACAATGCAATCATGCATTTTTTTGTATTATCGCCGATTTATTATAACGTTGCAGTCCATCTTCTATGCATTCAACATTCTCTCTATGTGGTTCTGGTATGGTATATTGCAAAATCATGCCGACTCCTTGCACCCCAGATTATTTATTATGGAGTACATGTTTTTCATGAACTTCAATGGGAAGTCAGGTCGTCTTCCCAGGATCGCCTTCAGGCCCTTCATTCATAATGGCAAGTACCTCAATAGTATTAAATCTCATACGTATTAAATCTAGCAATCCTACCAGCCAGGCAGCCACATGATTTTTTTTTTAGATTCTTAAACCCATTTGGGATTACATTGGTGCCTTGGTGGCAATACATACTTTATTTTTATCTTATCAAAATCTCAAACATATTACGGAGTATGATTTTGTCAAAATTTTATCGTGAAGCAAAAGCTAGTCCAGGATGACTTGCATTTCAATAATAAAATGTAAGTTATTTGTTTTTTACCACTTAATTTCCAAATTCCAAAATGAGGTCTTATAAGTTATAATAACAACCAGGCTCGTAACATCTTGAAGCCATGAGGGGAAATAAACAAAAAAGAACTCAAGTGTCTCCCATATGAATTCATATCTCTGTACTTATACACATCCCCCTGACCCCCTCTCATCCAACCAGATATAGTTCTATTACACTTAACTACTTAAGATGCCCTTATATTGATTACATAATACCATCCTGGAATCCTGGATAGAATGAAGTCAGTCCCAGCCCAAAACGAAAGGCCCAGCCTTTCCATGCAATACTAAAATAACAAAAACAAAAAAGAGCAACAGTTTTCTCACGCATATTCTAAACTTCTAAAGCTATCTAACCAGTATTCTGTTTGTTAGAAAGATACAAATTGTCCCACCATTCCCTTTAAAAAATACACCAGCCACTAAGATTGTGGCAAGTGTAGTGAAGAAGATAATGGTAAAAGGTTGCTTGATTTTTTTTTAAACCCAGCGCAAACCATCCGAGGATGGAGTAAGGGTCGGGGAACACCCTACCTATTTATTAATAAGAAAAGATACACAGTGGGAGGGCATAAGACCGAGTTTGCTTGAAATATACTACTTCCAAACACTGAATGATACCCCGAGTCCCTGAGCATGCATACTGATCCTACATTTCCAATTACCCAATAACCTAATCACCTTGAGAAGACAGCACAGTTATATTAACATCCTTATAAAAAAGCTTAAAAGCTTGTAATAACTTCTCACTTTTTCACAATGTCATTCATACCAAGAAAGTGGTAGGACATAATACTAACACTAGACACAGGGGAGTAGACTCATGCAAACTATAACGGATGAGTAACGGATAGATATTGGAAACATATTTTCAATCATGCAAACTACAACCAGGGGAGTAGACTCATGGTGCATTAAATGTTAATTTAGCGTGTACATGACTTGAGGTAGAAGAAAATGATGGGAAGTGAATCAAGTTTAACTGAGTAAAGGTCAAAAGTTCAAATGATGACAAATAGGAGCGGAAACACTACATATCAGTATATCACATGCCTGAGTCTTAAAGCATCATGCCCAAAAGATGATGCTAGAAATTTTTAGCACAACCAAAAGTTCAAAATGTGTCACTTCTAAATAGAATATATGGTTATCAACGACTACAGTAGTTTACACGATATGAGGGCTCTCATAAACTTGAAATCTCGTTTGAGAAAAATCATTTTGGGGGTTTTATTCGATTCATGGAGTTGACAGGTCGGGGCACGACAACTATTATCATCCCTGAAGGTTGGAAAAAGGAAGGCTTTCAACACTTTGATACGGAGCTTCAGAGGGTACTTAAGGATTTGGGCAGTGATACTTTCTGAATATCAAGAGAAGATTAGAATGATTTTAGAGAAATATTTCCAGAAATCTCTGGACTTACTCGCATTGGCTCTATGCCTTTTGAGTCACCATCCATTTCATTTTTATTATTTATGTAGGATTTGAAGAATATTGAATCTTCTGCTCATGTTATGGAGAATACAATTTCTGCTAATGTTTCAGAATTTATTGAAGAAAATCCTTTACAGGTTATTGCTACAGACTTTCATCTTCCAGAGAATGAGGGGGCTGTTGACATGCCATCTAAACCAGGCTCGGATTCTGACAAAGAAATCGAATGTATACCTATCAGGAGGCCTCTTTCAGATTTCAGACCAAGAACTTTTGGAACGACTACTTGATTCTTCCTGGAACTTGAATCCTCCAAAGTTCAAACATAAAATCCTTAGGAGTGATCGTCCGGCTTTAAAAAAGAAACTTGTTTCTCAGAACTAGCTGGCTGCTTGAATCATGGTCCTCAATATTGGTGTTCTCTCTCGTATTTTTTTCCTCTTTTTCTTCTTCAATAGCTTGGGGGTGGGGGGGGTGGGGTTCCCCGATTGCACCTATTTCCTTCATTAGAGCATGTCATCTTTTATCTTTCTCAATAAAAATATTTCCGTTTTTCAAAAACAACAACAACAACAACTATAGTAGTTTGTTTAGATCCTTCGTATATTTCGATTCTTTACTTACAGTATATGGGAAAAGGCACTCATGTAATTGATTAAACACAACTGCTAAGGTTACAGCAACGAGTTTAACTAGATAGAAACACAATACTCTAAGTTGAATCATTTAGCAATATTACCGGGTTCACATCGTACAAGGCAAAGTATTTAAACCAACAATAGTCATGATGAATCAAGAACCAACTCTTGAAACTGTTGTAATGTCAAAGAGTTTGTGCATAATAGCACCAGTTACTTGAAAAGAAAGAAGAAAAGATGTAATACAAGACCGCAAAGGAAATGGAAAAGAATACTTCACAAAAATGTAAAAACAATACAAAAAAGAAATTGAAAATGTGTATAATCAGAAATGTCATATGAAAAAGGTGTCCTCAATTCACCTCTAAATAGAATAGAATGAATTAATCTTTGTAGAAAGTGTAAACAGCATAAATGTTGCATCTTAAGAAGAGTTTTCACAGTCAAGCCCAAGTGGTCTTCAAAATTACATCTACTTTTATTCTTCAGTGGGATAAATGTAACCTAGAGCAGAGACACTAAACTCCAAACTATCCATTAGTGCCAAAAGAAGTATATTTCCACATAAACATTCCCCCACCAATCTAGGCAACTGCATTCTCCTGATCTTACTTGAACATTAAAGCTGCTCAAGGCAAGAAAAGCCCACCAATTAACATTCATTTCCTTTTACCTTAAGGTCCTTAAGTATGACGCTCTAAAGTCTAAATCCCAGCGAATAGTTCACTGATGACAATGACGCAACCTTTGGAAAGTTACAAACAACAGGTAAACCCTAAGGAAAGAACTACTCTAGACACAACAACAACACTCAAGCTTTAGTCCCAAAAGAACTACACTATAGACAAAGAAAAAGTAAATGCTCCCTACAAAAAGTAGGGCATTCTGCTTTGAAATAGAATTCTGATGATTTTAATGAAGCATCAACAAGTGAAATCTAATTGCTTGATAATATATGTGCTCCTACAGGAAGTGATGTACATAATTATTATGGTCCTATTCAAAAATTTAAAAAAACTATTCCAGGATAACACACATCCATACTAGTGATATTAGCTTGAAGAAGGGGGCTTGAATGTATAAGGCTGTGGGAGTACCAACGGGCCGCTCTTTGACTCATCATCATCCAAAAGCCTTTGAACCCTCTTCTTAACACAATACTGCCTATCAAAGTGTTTCACCTGCACACACAGAGCAACATCACTATGACATCACTGACTCCATAAATCCCATCCATTGAAAACAGTAAGGATCAATAGTTTCTCGAATTGAAGAACTAACCCAACTTGGTCGGCATTGGTTCACAAATTCTTTTCTGGATTTCTTGCACTCCGCTGGGTACAACAGGCCTACAGTCGCGAGTTCAGTAGCTTTCTTGCCAGATTCTTTCCCCAGGCATGAATAGAATGCGTCGCGTGCCTTTTGGGAACCCATGGATGAAAATATATAAGGAATTACGTGTGGAAAAAATGGGAAAGGGAAAGAGAAATTACCTTTTTGGAATTACCTTGTAGCAAGACAATCGAGCGGCAGAGAGAACATCAGTTCGGATTTCGTCAGAGGCTTGTTTGGGGTAAGCTTCAGAAGACGCCATTGAAACAGTGATGAGAATGGAAGGGGCAGACGGGCAGTGGATTGTTTTCCACTCCAGGCTCGTTATGGCCTGTTTGGATGAAGTTTTGGGAGCTATTAGTAATTAAAGTGTTTGGTTAAAAAATGAAGTGTTGGTAATACAAGTGTTTTCACTTAAATTGACAAAAATATCCTTTAAATTGGGGGTGTTTGGTAAACGGTGTTTTAGTCGAAAAATGACGGTTTGACCACTTTAGCGTTTTCAATAAGTGAAAACGTTGTTTGGTAAATAGTTGTTCGACACCAGCGTTTTTGGACGAAAACGTCAAATTGAAAACGCTCCTAATAGGAGAGTTTTGAGTTGGCGTTTCGAAAAATGACGTTATCTACTAATTTTATGGCCAAATAGCTAAATTACCAAACATCTTTTGACAACCCGCCAATTCATTCCGCTAGTCAAACCCGCTGACCGAATCAGGTGTTAACAACCCGCTATCCGCTAACTGCTGAATGCCAAACACGCCCATTATTATTAAACAAATTTTGATGCTCAAACCCAAATAAACCAGCATCAAACGACTTTTGATGCGAAACCCCAAATAAACAAGCATCAAACGAATTTTGATACTAAAATCCAAATAAACAAGCATCAAACTAACTTTCCAAGCACTTTGGTATATAGCCTTTTTTTTACTCTGGATCTGGGGGAGGGGGCTGGGGAGCCTGGAGTAATCAGGGCTGAAACAACACCAAACAATCAGGATGTTTTTACTTTGAGTGTAATTTGCTGGTCTGGTCTGGTCTGAACTGGTCTGGTCTGGTTTCTTTGTATTTTTATAACTATCCAAGTCTGGTCTGGTCTGGTCTGAACTGGTCTGGTCTGGTCTGGTCTCGGACAAATTACAGTCCAAGTAAAAATATCCTCAATAGACAGCAAGGGATGCTATTTTTAATTTACTCATGGGTCGGTGGAGATGCACAATTTTAAAGTTAGCGTGGATTTACTTGAATATTAATTGTACATGTTGTAATATTATACCACTAATATTGTGATATTTTTATATCATTTATATATATTAATATGATCTTACATATATGACTTTTCTGTGTGGGATGTAAACTTCACTCATATTATATTATAAAATTTTAAAATGTAGGAAACAAATATCTTATTCCAAAACTTATATTAGCTTGACTAAATATGACTTAGAAGACTTGAAGTTGTCATTCACATTTCTGCTTAGATATTTAGTTACGCGGAGCTGAAGACTAACCAGATTAACCAGTCATACGTCGTGGTGTCAAGAGTTTCCTCCTCTTCAAGGTTGAAGTTTATTATATGTGATAATATGGGAAATCAATCAAGACATTAAATGTTGTTTTCGAGGATGTGTATATTAATTTGTACTCCCTCCGTCCCGAAAACAACTTCCCACTTTCCTTAAATGGATGTCCCAAAATTAACTTCACACTTCAATACTTTCCTTATTTGGCAAATTATCTACATCAAAAAAGTGATAAACAGTGCCAAACAATGTTTAAACAGTGCCAAACAGTGTTTAAACAGTGCCAAACAGTGTTTAAACAGTGCAGAACAGTGCACTCTACAGTAAAGTCAAATTTATTTCTTAAAAGTGTGTGAAAGTCCAACCGGGAAGTTGTTTTCGGGACGGAGGGAGTAGTTTTTATTTTCATTTACTTTTGTAAAAAACGTATGTATGTTGTTTTATCTATATATCATAACATTTCTTTATGTTATGAATTAATTCAATTAGTGCAACACACCGGCGAAGAATCTAGATCAGACCAGATCAAACCAATGTTGTATCTTATTAGCTTAGACATTCATAAAATATACAAAGTTAAGACATTTATCACACCAAACCAATTCAATTTATACCAGACTTAAATAGACTAGACTAAACTAAATCAGGTCACTCCAGATCAAACTATGAAATTTCAATCAAATTAAAAACATTATATTCTAAGAGCATCCCGTGCGAAGCACGGGTGAAAATCTAGTTGATACTAGAGATTCTAATCATGTTGTTAGAAATTTATCATGCTTCTCATATTCATGAAATACATGCTCAAATTTTTGGTCTTTTTAATGGCCAACAAACGATTACGATCAAAGCTGGACGTGTTTGACCATTACATAATTTATGGTTATTCAATGTTTTGCTTGTACGCCTAAACAAAATGGACGGGTGAAAAGAAAACATCAAGATATTCTTAATGTTGCTTGGGTATTTTTGATGATATTTGCTTTTATCTTTCTTGGGAGAATGTGTTCTTACCGTTGCTCAGATGATTAAACCCGTGGCGGAGCCAGAAGTTTATAGTTAAAGGGGCCGGTTCTTGAAAATTTTACTTTGCATGGGCCAAAGTTTAAATATCAACATATTTTCTATAGATTAAACGTATTTATACATAATATATACTTAAGAATTTTTTTCCTTGCAGGGGCCGGGGCCCCCTCCAGCCCCTCCCTGTCTCCACCCCTGGATTAAACACGCACCCTCTGCATTGTTTCAACATAAAACACCTTTTGAAATTTTATATGGTGATTTCCTTACTACTACGTATAAGATTTCATGTGTTTTTGGATGTCATTTTTCGCTTATAACCAAAATGCTAATTAAAAGCAGATAAATTTGCTAGTCACAATAGCAAATACTAGGTATGTTTTTATTGGTTACTCTTTTGGTAAAAAGGATGAAATTTATTTGATATTGAAACAAATGAATATTTCACTTCCAGAGATGTCTCTTTTTGAAGAAATATTTTCATTCCACACATCTAGGTATAGTAAATTAGTCTTGGAGCATCCTTCACCCACGTTGGATCCTTCTCCCCCACCACAAGAAGACATCTTTGATTATGACATAAAACTCTGGAATTATAGTGTCATCTCTTCCTCCTTTGTGTCATCCTTGCATGTATATTCTTTTCATTCACGTATGATATTTCCTTGGTGGGAGTTAATTAACCACATTATTAGTTTTTAGGGAATCTTTGTATTATATATGCCTTTGTCCTTTGTAAGATATTATTGTACAATAGATGACTGGACTATGGATCGTATGATATAGTGGTTTTCTTGGATGATTAATATTCGAATGATTTCTCTCTGGCAAAATATATGCTTTAACACTATATTAAATTTTAATACTCTACAAATTAGAATAATTCTTTTTATCCACTAAAAAGAACAGTTCTTTTCATAAGAGTACATATAATGTATGTGTAATACGATTGTTTGTTACAATCTATTCATGATGCAGTGAACAAATGATGATTAGGGAAATACAAAATTGTTGCGATATTGTCCAAGTGCCCATATGGGAAATATATTCCGATAGGATGCATAGTTTAATGTGCAGTGCTTCATAAATACTCCAGAAATTTCCTGAAATTCAGATTTTTGTTCAATTAGTACACAAAATTATCCAATCAATGATCCATATTATTTCATTAAGATAAGATGGACATGTATTGAGATATGTACATTTGTTTCATTGATGATGGTATGATAATTAGATGTTCACAATATAATCTCTTGATCGACATTTAATGGACATTATATATTAAATCATTTCTAAAATACTACGTAGTGACTTTCACAGAAAAATTATACGAAGTATAAGTTTTTCTTTTAGTTTGGATTTAAATAAATTACGAATGATGACATGTATTAAAAAATATGCTCATATGCACGTAGTGAGAGTGTGAGACACATAACTACATACTTTCATTGTCCATCAAATATACAAGTAAAAATGTAACTTTCTGTGGACTTTAAAATTCATTAGGCACCTGGAGTCCTTGACTATATATTGACATTTCCAAATTGAACCGAATCCCTTACGTATTATTGTAATTATCAATCTACTAGTGTGTTGCATGAATGAATTTGCCCATAAAAATTTATTTGACCATTAGTGTGTAAATATTTTTAATTAAAACTTTGAACACATGATATAAAGTTAATTGTGTTAAAAAAACATATCTACAAATGTAAGAGATGCTCCAATCATTACAAAAAACACAAATGAACATTATTTAGTTTTTATGTTACTTAAGAATTAATATGATAACAATAAATGTTTTGTGATATATTTATATTTAAAAAAATTCGTTTCCCTTTACTTTTGGTATTTCCCAAAATGTTCTCTAATTTACCTAATTATAAAGACTAAATATTACTTTATTGTGGTTGATGTGTTGGAATGGTTTTGGACAGCAAATAAACTCGAAATTTATTTGGAATTAATCAAGAAAATACCATTAATATCCTTACCAATGCATAACTATGGCCTTCATTAAATTTAACTTCTATTAGTAAAAAATATTAAAAATCCGATTATGAAAATTTGTAATGAGATAAATTCAAAGTATAGAAATGAAACGGGGATATGAATAGTCAAAGTATAGTAAAAAGAAACGTATTATTTTCTATAAGCACTTTTTGTTTGTTGTTATTATGAGTCTGTTTGCAACAGTTTTTGCTTTTAAAAAAGTGTTTTTTTTAATAAAATGGGGATAAGTGATTAAATAAAAGTTGATAGTGTTTTAGAAAAAAATGATTTTGAAAAGTAAAAGTGGGTAGTGTTTGATAAAATAAGTACTTTTTGTGTAATAGAAAAAGTAAAAACACTTTTGACGCGGAAGCCGAGAAAAATAAAAGTTGTAACGTTTGGGAAAATAAGTACTTTTTAAAGCCAAAAGCTGAGAAGTGCTTTTTTAAAAGGAGTTGCAAACCAACCCTATATCCATTTTTCTTATTCATCCCCTATGTAGTTTTATTAAGGTCACTTCCATACCATATAGACGTGGTAATACTTAAAAGCATCGTTCAAAAAATATGATGTAAAAAATTAAATATGAATACCTATATATTACATATAATATTGATCTTTGTTAAGTACTACGTATATTATATATGAAATTAATTATGTATGTATAAAAACGTTAATTAGTTGGTATTTTTTAATGATTATTCTTTATGTTAAGTTCAATTAGTATTTATATACACATTAGTTAAAATTAAGAGTTCATTAAATACTTCAAAAATATCATTTTTTGGGAGGGAAAATAAAATATTTAATTTCAACCCATACTATCTTTATATTCAACCATACTATTTATATAT